CTGTTGATGCCAATTGAACTGAAAATTATCAATGATTATTTTTCTGAGACATGAAACGCTCATGATTTAGCATTAGCTAACTATGATAAATGATATGTCGAAGAAATTGTTCCCTCCTGATTAATCTTGATTAGAAAACTCTTCGATTGCGCTTCGTCCATAAAAACCAAAATAGTTGTGAAGAATAAATAAGTCTACATATTGAAAAAACCAAAACTATGAGTTTAGTCAATGACACTCTCACAACTATCCGATTTGAAACATGATAAATAAAAGTGATTGTGACCTCTTTGTACTAAAATTAATACTTTATTTGTATAACTTCCCTTATTTCTTAAGGAATTTAAAGCCTTACACAGTGGTCCTTTGGGAGTTTATTGTATGCTAACTCCCTCAAGTTAAATATCTATATGGGGGGAGGAAATATTAATTTTTGAAAATTTGGGATCTTCCTAAGAACAACGAAATAATTATTACCAAATAATTATTTTTTTAAAAAGAAAAGGTCTTGGATTTTGAGTTCTTTAACACTTAGATCTCATCTTCTAAAGATCATCTCCATTAAATCTTGGGATGTTTTGATTTTTAGAAGCACATAGTGTCATTTGAATTTTTGGTGTTGCTCACTCATTTGAGGAAACTGCAGCTTTAAAACATGGGACCCTAAAAATAGTCCTATAATAAATTCTCCGTGAGAGACGAAATAAGCATTATGCTCACGCGAGAGCATAAAATCCTGTTGTTAAAAATAGCACTTCTTGCCCAAGCTCCGTAACTGAATGGGTTTCTAAATACCTATAGCGTAGAAAATCCAAAACGGTTTCACTTGGCGTTTTGTTGCACATTTGATTGATAAAATTTTACAATTGATTTATGAACTGTTTGTTTGGTATTCCTGGTTCCAAGTTCATGATCCGAATCGAGCGAGAAAGAGAGAGAGGGGCGAAAAAATTGTAAAGCGCCAGCTTCCGAGGGAGCATATTGTGCATACATTCCCCAAGTAAGAAGACCTATTTTGGAGATTTTTTCCCCCCTCAAAATACCACCTAAAAAGATGATAATTTTGAAAAGAAAATTTATTGAATTTTGAGTTTTTGATGCTGAGATCTTAGCTTTAAAAATTGGACAATTTCTATTCAATCTTGGGACAAATTTTTTTTTTTTGGTACATAGAGATTTCGGCTCGAAAATTTCTTCTAGTAAGGTTAGGCTGTGGGCTAAAGAAGTGACATCTGCAAAATTTGGGGTAGTAAAATAACTCCTACATTGAGTTTTACATGAGGGAGTAGTGAACAGGAGAATTATATGAGAGTATAAAATCTTTTGGTTACACTAATAAATTCCTTTGCGAGCACGCATACTATCCGCTCAGTATATATTTGTGCATCTATTCCCTCAGTCAAATGCGCTACTTGATATATATATATATATATATATTTTTAATCTTTTCAGTATGAAAATTTAGAAACCACTTCAGAATAGTTAGATGATTATTTTCAAAAGAAAAAAAATTGAACTTTGAATTTTTTAATACTTAGATCTCACCATTTGAAAATTGGACGGTCTCTTGACATTAATATTTTTAGTACATAAAGAGTTCAATTCGGAAACTCCCTTTATTTACTGAGGTTAGATTATGGAATTAAGGGGTTATGTCCCCAAAATCGGATTCTTAAAATCAATCCTATGTTGGATTTTACCTGTGGAAGTAAATAAACAATATACGCCAGCAGGAGTATACTGGCCTTAAATGAACGAAGATTAAAGTGAGAAATTTAGGTTGACTACCCTTAAATTCTTCGAATTTGGTTTATGTGTTGTAGATTCATTTTGTGGGTCTAAAACCATGATATCAAATCTTAATATTGGAATTTTAAGATTTTAAACTAAGAGTGGCAATAGGCTGGGTGGCCTTGCTCGGCCCAATTGTCCCTTTCTAAAATAACTAGGGTTTGAGCTATAAAATGTGGACCGAGGGCCAAGTTGATTCAGCCTATCTTGCTTTCTTTTTCTTTTTTTTTAACTTTTTCTATTGATTTTTTTTTTTCCTTTTATCTAGCCTAGCCAGGCCCACACTAGCCCTTATAGGGTTAGGGTTGGGCTTCTGCCAAGGCCTTTTTCGCTCAGTTAGGGTTGGGTTGGGTGTAGGCAGGCCCTATAGCATGTCCCTATCCAAAACTGAGAATGAGTTTTTTATGACATTGAAAATCGATAGTGAGGGCATGTTAAAAAAAAAAATGCAAGAGTGAACATACCAAAAGCATTTCAAAAGCGGGAAGCGAAGAAGCTATTAGGAGAAACAAACATGTGTCCAAGTGAGAAATGTGTGGGAAAAAGGTTAGGGTCGTAGTGGTAGCACTCTCATATCTTAGTTGCACATTGTGGCTTTCATTACCACTGATAGGTTCAAAAACCACTAACCATTTCAAATAACTGGTAAGAGTTTTTTTTAAAAAAAATCGCTGGTGACCAACCTAAAACAAAGAAATGTACTGACACTATATAAGTCTTACTATGAATGAGTAGAGAGAACATTTAATTTTGGGATGGTCACATTTAAGTGTTTCATCATCATCAGAGCTTTTCTTAACTCTTAGGGGTCGGATATACGAATTTTGATCCTGCTTGATCAAGGGTCATACCCTCAATGAGGCCATAAGCCTTATACATTTTCTCACTATTTTCAACTATGTCTTTTTAAGCCTATTTTTTCAGTAAAATTTTATGTCAATTGCCTACCTAACACAACCCATATTCTTTATCCGGGCTTGGTACGGGTTAAGAGAAAGTTTAATATCCTCACCATTCTTAGACCAATCCATTGTTGACAAAATCGCCTGATCTAACCGCTAATCGCCCGGTTAGATCGGAGCCTGCCTGTGGCCGGTTCCGCTTTTGGACGGTTAGGGTGATCAACCGGTATTAAAAAAAAAAAGTTTATATAAATTCTAAAAAATAAGGAATTTGATTTGTAATGTATTTTTAAATATTCTTTATATTATGGTAAAGATTACAAATTATTTTGGTCATTAATACTCATTTTTATATTTTATCATCTTTTTAAAATAAAAATAAAAATAGCCATTGGATAATATAAAATGGGTTAAAATCTATTTTTTCATTAATTTTCAACTTCATTTGAATGTGTTTTGTTTTAATCACTTTATATGTTTTTTATATTTTAGTAGATTTTTTTTTGTATTTCTTTTCAACACGTTTTTGACCGCTCGGGACTTGTCCGATTAGAGCGGTTGAATCGGCCAGTTTACCTATTAGGCCTGTTAAACCGCTTCTAGGCCTATGTCCGTTTAACCATTCCAATTCGATATTACGAACACTGGACCAATCAAATTTAAACGTTTAAAATTTGAAAATCAATCAAATTGTTTAAGAACTGAAAACTTATCCTTTCTTTAACAATAATATGGTGACTTTTAAATGGATAAAAAATGTTTCTAGACAAGGAGAAAGCCCAGCTCTCTTGGCCGAGGGAATAAGTATACAAAATGAACCCATCACATAGAACAGTTTTTGTGGTGAGAGAAAAGAGAGAATATGAAGCCATGAGAGACATAATGAGTTTGATCCTGAAGAAGGCAGGCTAGCTATGCCTTTCGGAGCTTAGGAGCTAGCTAGGGAAGAGATGAGCTCGAGCTTTATCTTTATCATTGAGCAAAGTGCAAAGTTAGCCAAAACATCGAAAATAAATGGTTTTTATTTGAAAAAGTCGGACAAAAAAATCAGATAAAAAATACAGATTAGTAATACTTGACAATTTTTTGTCGAAACTTTCAATATATCTAGCAACAATGTTTATTCTGTTATCACATCATAAAACATATCGTATAAAATGAAAAAGCAACATAACACTAAACAAAAGAACTAATTAGCAATATAACAAGAACTGTGAACCAAGGTATATGATTATTTTTCAAAGAACAAATCAAAAGACTCCTTCATTGCAGCGAATTAAAAAAAAACATAAGGACCCAAATTTGTAAAATAATGGTTCATCCAAAATGCTATATACACCTATAAAATAAAAATAAAAAATAAAATATCAAATAAATCAAACTTCTTTATGCATAAAAAAACAATAAAATACCTAAGTAAATTTGAATTTCGCAATGAATTCCTAGCTACCTAAATATTTAGTATCATTGAACCTCTCTCTTGCTCTTTGTAAGAATGCTAGAGGTTAAATATTTTATTTATTTATTTATTGGATTACTCTTCTTCTAATTCTACCTATTATTTTGATATATACGGATATTCTTTTTTCATTGGATTACTCTTCTTCTAATTCTACCTATTATTTTGAGATATACGATTGTTTTGGTTTTTTTTTTTTTTTGGTATACATTATTTGTATTTTTTTGTACACTTTTTTAAAGCAATTTTATTGGTGAATTTTTTTGTTAAATTAAGATTCTTAATTTGCTTTAACTGTTAATATACTTATCTTTAAACTAAAATTCAATAAGGACTCGGTTTCTACATGGTCAAGCTCGTATATGTAGAAATGTGGGCTTCTTAACAAATCTATTTTTAAGATGGATTTTAAGATTTAATTTGAAGACATGTAATCTATAATATGAAGATCATGATTATGAAAAAAAAAATTTAAAAACTAAAAATAATAATTCATGTAAGGAAACAATTGGACCGTTAGTTTATATTGTTTTTAGATAGAACACCTACTTGCATCCATCTTGAAGATGGATGCTTTATACTTTCTGTACCGCATACGTAGAAATGCGGTCCAGCCTGCTTGAAACAATTTTCCTTTCAATAATATTAAGTTAATGAAGAAATAAAATTATAGGGAAAATTTTGTTGTGATTTTTTTTTTTAAAATAAAATACACATTTATATCAGTTCTATTAAAAAAATATAATTTTATAAATATCTTTTGAGAAACTGCTATTAACGAATTTTAAAAAAATTTGATACTGATCCTACACACAGGGAAGGGTCCTACGATCATTGCTCTTAAAAAAAAATTGGAGATTTTTTGAAAAATCGTGATTTAAACGTATATTGCTAACTACGAGACAGACAGGCATATGGTCTGACTTTTCAGACTGAAGGCAACTGTGCCGGAAGAGCTCTGTGGAGAGAGAGAGGAAACCAAATTTCGGTGGTAAACTTTGTTTTTTTGGAGGGAAAAGAATGCCGAGAAGCCGAATCTCAGGCGGTTTCAGTGCACCCACCATCGATGTCTTCGTCGACTTAGGTCACCCTTTCCTCAATCGGACATTCGATGGTTTCCTCAAGATCGGAGCTGTATATCTCCTCTCTCTTACTTTTTCTCTTCTCTATCTTTCTTCTTCTTCTTTTCATGTCATTTTCAGCAGTTACTATTACTTTATTCAGTTTCTGAATCGCGCACAAAAAAGCTCTGCTTCTTTTGTTCTGATATAAAAGTGAAATGCTAAGAAAGCTTGACCCTTGATTGCTTTTCCTATAAATTATAGATTTCTAGAGAAAGAGAATGTGGCTTTTGTGGTTTTTCCCTTTTCATCTGATTTTATTTTTGTTTTTTGGGGTTTTAATAGGTTGGTGCTTCAAGAGTGGCGGCAGAAGAAGCTTACTACTCCATAAGTAAAGGTATTATTTTCCTTTTCGTTTTTTAATAAATATTTCTACTCTTAATTTATATTGTCGTTGTGTCTATTTTTTCCTTCATAAATTTTACCTTTTCTTCATTTTGATTGTTATCAGTTAGAAACTGGAAAATTCACTTAACTGACGAAAGTATTTTTATCAGTGTAATCTAAGAGTTATTGTCCTCTGTGCTTTCTTAATTGAAGCAGGAAGTAATGTTAAGAAGGGATTGTTGAAACCTTTATGATTTTCCCTAGATTTCTCCCTCATTTTTTTTTTTCTATTTTTTATTCTTGTTGAAGCTCTTCAAATTCCCTACAAAAACCCCACGTCGATATTCAATTTTCTTGTTTAAATCTGAGCATTTTGAAGGCTAAACAGAGGCATCTATGACAAACCTGTAAAATCCGCTAAAACCTAGATAACTCGCTCATTTCTCACTTATTTTTTCTGATTTTTTGATTGTTGTTGAAGCTCTTTGAATCCCCTACCAAAACCCTAAATCGATCTTTAGTTTTCGTGCTCAAATCCGAGCGTTTTGAAGCTAAACGAGGCACCTTTGATGAACATGTAAAGTGGATTTCTCAAATTAATGTGTGTGTGTGTGTGTGCGTGTGGTGTGTGTGTGCGGGCATGCGTGTGTGGTGTGTGCATTGTAAAGGGTTTCAAACATTGAATTTTCAAATTAAGACACTTTTATTGAATAATAAAAATTATTAAAATTGGTAAGATATTTTGTATAAAAAATTACCAAAAATGAGTAATAGGACTCATATGTACACGTGTCCGCCTTTTAAAGCTAAACGAGGCACCTTTGACGAAGATGTAAAATGGGTTTCTCAA